GATAATAATTCTAATACTTAATAGTAATACTTATACTAATATTATTACCATTACAATATTACTATTGCTCATACCATTACTAATATTATAACTCATATTAATATTAATTCTAATCCTAATACTAATTGTAATGACGACTCTATTCATAATCCTGATCATAATACTAATACAAATACTAATAGGAATACTAATGGTAATACTAACCTAATTATAATACTAATACTAATATTAATACTAATCACAATTCCAATCTTAATCATGATATTAATATTAATTTTGATCATAATCTTAATACTAATCCCAATCATACTAATAATAATACTTATACTTATACTCATACTCATACTTATACTAATACTCATACTCATACTTATACTAATACTCATACTCATACTCATAATACTCATACTAATATTAATACTAATATTAATATTAATACTAATACCAATACCAGTATCAATACCAATACCAATATCATTATCAAACCAACAACAATATTTTGAATAATTATTGTTTGATCAACCAAATCAACACCATGAAATATGAAACGAAAAATATTCAAAACAAAGGAATTTGGCATATAAATAAATTTGCCACAAATAAATAATGGGGTTTTTTCATATCGAAAAAAATAATAAATAAATTGCTTCGCATGTATCGCTGATTGTACACAAACTAAAATATGAGAAAGAAAAAAAATTAAAAAGAAGACAAATGGTATGAAATTGGTACACAAAAAATTGAAACGGAATTGTAAACATAACCGAAAGTACACATATTTTTGGGTAGTAAACATTTGATTGCCAATATATAAGCTGTCCGTCTTGATCATATCTACAAAAACATATACAATTAAAAAAATTGTTATATATGACTGCAAATATAAAAATTTATTCAACTATATTGAAACAAAAAACCCAATCTTTTAACCCATAACAAATCATTTAAAACAAAATCTTAACAAAGTTTACATTTACTTGTTTAATTCATTTCCATTGTTTAACAAAGTAAGATATATGTAAACCGGTGATGCTATTAGAATGTATAGTTCGAAATACTATTAAAATTTGACAAACTTTTATAAGGATTAAAAAAATGGATAAAAAAATAAGGATTAAAAAAACTACTTATATTTTACTAAACATATTTTTTGTTGTGATTCAAAATAAATATAAATATTACCATAATAATGTAAACAAAATCTTTGTTTTTTATGACAATTGCTATCAAAATTTCTATGAATTATGTAACATATTAGTATAACGATAATTTGCATTAATACCAATTTATTAGCCTTCATGAAATACCTTATGATCAAGAAGTATGTCATTATTCTAGTTTGCATCATTATAAGTGGTGATACACATTTTATACATTCAATGGCAAATAGTGAATAGTATAATTATTGTATTATATAGAAAATAAGTCACATTATTATATAATAGCAAACATTCGATATAAAAACAGTTATAAAATAGCGAAAATATTGGAAATTGCTAATTACTATATCTTGTTAATATCTATATTATAACAGCAAAAAGTCAAATTATTATAAAGAAAAAACAAAAAAAAGGGCAATATGGCATTGTAATAATATTTATCTACCGGAAAAGAATTTATTATGTAATGATTTTAAATCAATCTCGTTTCTATGAATGTTGACTAATATATTTCCTAAATTTTATATTAAAATTTTTAGCAATAAATATGTATGAAGTTTTTTTTTTTTAATTTAGTGTGTGTGTGAGTCAAAAATAAATTCTTAAAAAATAGTATGTATTGATTTTAAAAGAATCTCATTTTACAAAATTTTGTAACGTAGAAATATACTACTATTTTTTAATGTACGTATGTACATATATATATATATATCAATAATTTTCTTCAGCTTTAAATTTGAGCACGACATATTTCATAAAACAATAGACAAAAATTATCAATTTAATTATAATAATCAAGAGCAAGATTAAAACATAAAATAAATTACAAATTAGAATGTCCTAACACTATTAAACTCCCAACATTAAACAAATTTCATCAAAAGAAAATTCTAACAAAAAATTTAAATGAAACAAAAAAAAATATTTAAGGAGTAAATCTTCTTCTTGACTTGCACAATGCACTTCAATGACGTTTTTGTTGGGATAAACAAAAATTGAGTGATTCTTCCACGAATAAATCTCAAAGAAATCTTTTTTTTTTTGCCAATGTATCCAGCAACATCTCCAAATTGCTTGGATATGTTCTACACGGAAATTGATCAATTAACAACATATTATTAATTATACATTAGTTATAGAAAATATAACAAAACAAAATATGAATATAACCTTTGATTTTTGAACTTTCAAGATGTAGTCGCACTTTTTGCAAATTCATAGAATTTTTCCATATCCGATATCAGTCGCGTAAAATACATGA